AGAAAAAGAAATAACTCTACTGGGAGTGTGATCTAAGGTACCCCTCCACTCAACACGCGGTACACCTGGCATAGCCAACGTCACGATTTTGGCGTGACAATCAAGAATAGCATAATGGGGCGACAACCAGTCCATACCTAAGATAATATAAAAATCAACCATGTTGAGTAATAATAGATCGGCTCTGGTCTCAAAACCGCTAAGAGCAACCAAACACGACCGATAAACGCGGTCTACAACAAGAGAATCTCCCACATTAGTAGAAACATAAACAGGGGAACCCAAAGAATCCTGAGGTACACCCAAATGCGGAGCAAAATAAGAAGACACATAAGAGTAAGTAGAGCCTGGATCGAATAGAACCGATGCATCTCTGTGGCAAACCAATATCATACTTGTGATGATAGAATCAGAGGCAACAGGCTCGGTACGAGCAGGAAGGGCATAGTATCTGGCCTGGCCTCCCCCTCTAGGGCGACCTCTACCTCCCCGACCTCTACCTCTAGCTGGCTGAGCATGTGGGATAGCAACTGGAGCGGTAACCATAGCCTGAGAACTCTGCAGGGCATGCTGTGGCTAAGAAGTCTGTGGAGGTGCACCCCTCCTAAGTCTGGGGCAATCCCTTACCATATGGCGCGTGTCGCCACACTCAAAACAAGCTCTAGAAGGACGTGGCGGTTGTGACTGGCTCGGGCCTGGTCTGTTGGACTGACCTTTGAAAGCACCTCGCGTAGGAGGCGCGCTAGAAACCAGAGGTGCATAATAATGCTCCTGAGGCCTAAGAAGAGCTGGAGCACTACTGGCTGCTGGAAGAGCTGAATGAACAAGACGACTCATATAACCCCTACCATGACAACCTACAGCTGGGTTATGGGCACTAGAATAATGGCCCGACTCTCGAGACCTCTTGGCCTCCCTCTCCTTTCTCTCCCTAGCATGCATACCCCCAATCCTCCTAGCAATGCTCACCACCTACTGATAAGAAATGTCCATCTCCAACTCGCGAGCCATGATAGACCTGATGATAGGAATAAGGCCCTCAATAAACTGACGAACCCTCTCGCGAACAGTGGAAACCAAGGCTGGTATATGCCTAGCCAAACTAAGGTAATGGACAGCATACTCTAAGACAGTCATAGCACCCTGGCGCAAATTCTCAAACTCTCACCATGCGTCCCAGAGGCTTTGAGGAACATACTCTCTCAGGAATAGCTGGACTGTCTAACTCATAGGTGCGCCACCACTCATAGGCGGCTCCTCGAAGCTGGAAGGTAGTGAAGGAAACATCGCTCGATCCTGAGATACCCATGGTACAGAGAATGCAGTAATACTCATCAAGAAACCATAGAGCATCCTCCGATGCTAGACCACTAAATATAGGAGGCTTGTACTTCTTGAACCTTTCAAGCCTTAACTTCTCAACCCTGGAAGCCACTGCCCTGTCCTCGGGCTGAACTGGCACTGTAGGCGGTATAGGAATAATCTCAGGGACCTGCTCAACATGCACTCGCTGCTCAGGAGTGCGGGCAGCGGGAGTTTGTGCTCCTCCCCCGGCCTGAGATATGGCTGCAGCAAGGGGAAGCAACCCTGCCGGAGCCAAGGTGGTGTACATGCTCATGAACTGTGCCAAAGTCTCCCGAAGGGCTGGAGTAGTAATAGCAGTAGGCGTATCAGGTGCCTGGACTCCGGCTAGAACTATTGGTGGCTCCTCGGTGGCAGCTCACGCGGGTGCTCTTGCTTCATCGCATGCGCATGTGTGTCCTCGGCCTCTACCCCAGCCCCAACTTTTGGCGACTCTCGCAGGGGCGCGGGTGCCTGATCATTACAAGTAGCGCATGTCCTCACCATCGATGAGAGAATAGAAGATAGAAGTTCAGAATTCGTGATATCAAAAATCTCGCACGACAGGGATTCAAATGAAGTGGAATTTTCCTAATGGTTACATAGCCTCTCGTAGATAAGTACAGACGTCTCCGTACCGATCAGCGAGACTATAATAAATAGGCTTGTGATCCATGACTCCTATGAACCTAGAGCTTTGATACCAACTTGTCACGACCTCAGTTCGCCCTCTGTGAACCATCGTGACAGCACCCAGTCTCTACAACTAGGTAAGCCTAAATTGCGGAAGAAAACCAAAAATTGCGGAAGTAAAACAATTTAAAGACAGAAACAAGGCAATAACAGTATTAAATGTGTCGCTTGGCATACACCATATTTATATATATCTCAAAACCAATATCTAAATCCAAGACCCAGAAACCCATGAATCATAAGGTAAGAAAAGGAAATACTACATAGCTCTAACTCCGGAATTTCTCTAATAAGAACAGAAAGTACAAAAGAGCTAAATAAAAAAAGGCAGGAATAGAAAGGGACTACTCGGTCTGCGGGCGCGGCAGATGTACCTCGAAGTTTTTAAGTAGTCGCCTCCCTCAAGGATGGTAGGCCTAAGTAGAAGTACCTGGATCTGCACATGAAAAACATGCACAGAAGAGGCATAAGTACACTACAGCGGTACTTAGTAAGTGCCAAGCTTAACCTCGGTTGGGTAGTGACGAGGAAGGTCAGTGCCCTACTGAGGTTAAATACAATATATAAGGGTTAACAATGTGGAATAAAACAGTATAAATAAGTGCAACAGTAAGAATAACGTAGAATTGATAGAACAACAACTAGAACAGAGACAAACAAGCCACGAAAAGAAATATAGCTTGACACAGAGATAAAAACCGGGGCACCTTCCAGGATACTGTCCTGTAGTCCCAATTACAATTGTCTTGTGGATCTCCCGAGATACCGTCCCATAATCCATCATATATATGTTCGAAGGATCTCCCGGGATCTCGTCCCGTAGTCCAACTATCAATGCGCGGGGATCTACCAGAATCTCGATCCGTAGTCCCAAATGTAAATACCAAGTACTAGGGGAATCTACCGGATGCATTCCCGTAGTTCCATATAACTGTGCAGGGGAATCTACCGAGAATCTAACCCGTAGTCCCAAAGTAAACAGACAAAGGGGAGCTATCGGAATCCCACATCCATAGTCCCAAAATAAATACACAGCAGCAGCAGGAAGATAAATAGAAATAGCAAAATTCATATTAAGGCAATAAGCGATTCTAGCCTAGCATGCTGCACATAATTCAAGTAAGACAAGTTAAATCAAACGAAGCAATTAAGTCACTTAGACATGCTTTCCTAAGCTAACAACAAGCTTAATAGTGCAAGTAATAGAAACGGGAAAGGAAACATACTAGTAAGTACTTAAAGAAAACCGAATTTCCAACAATTAGCACAAGTACGCACTCGTCACCTCACGTACAAGGCATTTCAATTACCAAATATACCAATCCTAAGGGGAAGGTCTCCACCACAAGATTAGACAAGCCACTTACCTCGAACAAGCTCAAGTCAACCCGAAACCACGTTTTTGCCACGAGTATCCGACTCCAAATGGCTCAAATCTATTCAATTCAATTGGATATTGTAAATAACACCTCAAGTAACTGATTCCACAATTAAATTCTAAGCAAATACGCAAAATTAGGTAAACATAACCAAAACGCCCCTCGGGCCCGCATCTCGGAATCGGGTAAAATTTGTAGTTTCAGAATCCTCACACTCTCACGAGTCTATACATAACAAGAACACTGAAATTGGAGTCCAAATGATCCCTCAAATCCTCATTTAAAGGCCTCTTAAACTTAACCCCTAATTATCCATTTTCCCCAAATTTTTCCACCACTAATCAGGTATTTAATCACATAAAAACAAGTTATGAAGTCAAAAATATTTCCTCCAAGTGATTCCCCTTGTATCCCTCTTCAATCCTCTTCAATAAGCTTCAAAATCGTCTAACAATGGAGGAAACTAGGCTAAAATTCGCGAAATAATCCTTTTTAAACATTCTGCCCAAGTATTTTAATTCCTTCTTCGCGAACGCGGTCAAGGCCTCGCATTCGCGAAGCACAAAAACTTGTTGACCAAAAGTCCTCCTACGTGAACGCGACACTGCTCTTGCGAACGCGATGCTTCCACTGACCAACCCTTCGCGAATGCGATACACCTTTCGCGAATGCCAAGAGCAATTCCACCTCGAACCCAGTTGACCACATCCTTCTACGCGAACGCGATACCCTTCCCGCGAACACATTGCTCAAACATCACCACCCTTCACGAACGCGAAGGCAAAATTCTGTCAACCCCCTACTGGTGCTTCGCGAACGTGAGGGTCCACTCGCAAACGCGAAGGGTAAATATCTACAACAGCTGAACCTGCAATTTTGCAACTTTTAACAACTAAAAATGATCCGTTGAGCATCCGAAACACACCCGAGGCCTCCAGGACCTCAACCAAACCTGCCAACCAATCCTAAAATATCATTCAAACTTGTTCCAACCTTCGAAACGCTCAAAACAACATCAAAACACCTATTTCATCGGATTCAAGCTTAAAAATTCCAAAAACTCTAAAAACACACTTTCGATCAAAAGGTCTACCAAACCTCGTCCGAAGGACCTGAAATTTTGCACACACATCACAAATGATATGACAGAACTACTGCAACTCTCGGAATTTCATTCCGACGCTCGGATCAAAAATCTCACTATCGAACCGAAAACTTTAAAAATTCAACTTCCGTCATTTCAAGCCTAAATTAGCTATGGACCTCCAAAATACACTCTGAACGCACTCCTAAACCCAAAATCACCCAACGGAGCTAACGGAACCATCGGATTTCCATTCTAATGTCGTCTTTACACTGTTCTGACTATGATCAACTTTTCAACACTTAAGCTCTCATTTAGGGACTAGGTGTCCCAAAACTCTTCGAAACTCAAAACCGAATATCCCGGCAAATCGAAATAGCAGAAATAAACTTGGGAAAAGAAGTTAATAGGGGATCGGGGCGATAATTCTTAAGACGACTGGCCGGGCCGTCACAGGGCTTCAGCCTATATTTTACCCATAAATTATGGGTGCTTCTGGGTAAAAGTTGGGTAATATACGGGTTGCTTAACATAGGTAAAATCTATGTTTCATCAATCTCTTTCACACTCTGTCAACCTCTCAAAGCTCACGGAGACCATTTTCCAGCATCGATTTTTCAAGATTTCTCCGTCTCCTCTCCACGGACGCCTTCATCAATTTTTTTAAGGGTAACTTCTCCTCCCCACTCCCCTGAAACCTTCTTTCTCATCCTCCCTCATTTTCTTCTTTTCTTCGTTTTTTTGAATTTTTAGGTCTAGGATTGGTGATTAACTCTAAAAATAAGCAGAAGTTCTTATTTACTTTATCATCCCAAAAAGAATTCAGAATTAACGAACATATAATTTTGGTTTTAATTTGAACACCAAATTTCGTCTTTCTTTTGAGTAAGAATTATATTTCTAGAATATATACAAAAGTACTTTTATCTTGTGTTGTGAAATTCTTTTTTTTTATAAATTGTAAATTTATGCTGTATAAAGTTATGATTTTTATGGAATATTGGATGTCATGAATAATTAGGGATTTAACTAATTTTTTACATTGCTCATGTAATAATATTTTCAGCATTTGCTTTTCTATTTTATGGATTGCAAAGAAAAAATTCTCCTTTCCCTGAAATTTATGTTTAATATTTTATATTTTTAGTTTTATGTTCAAATTCTAAATATGCGAGTCTTGTATTTTATACTTATGCTTTCTATGTTAGGCAGAGATGTCTGCAGAGGTTAATGAGGAGGCTATTGACGAGTCGTGATGTTAGTTCATCAGTCCCAACAAAACGAGCTAAGAAAAATACTTTCGTTGTTTGGAATACATTTAAAAAATTGCCTCATGCTAGTGTTGGTGAAAGGGGCAAAGTGTAATGTAAGGTATGTAAGATGATCTATGTAGTAGATTCTAAGTCTGGATCTTCAAACTTGAAGCGACATATTGATGAACACATAAATAATGCACAAGAACTTATGATCCAATTGATCAAAAAATTTATCGTAAGAAATTGTCTGTGACTATTCTGAAGCATAATTATCCTTTTAGCTTTGTCGAGCATAAAGGAAACATGGATATCCATTTGTACTTAAACCCAGCAGTGAAAACCATTTCAAGAAATACCGCCAAGTTTGATATTTTGAAAATGTATGATCGGAAAAAGAAGTTTTAAGAGTGAGCTTTCAGCGATTTCTAATAGAGTGTGTTTGACTTCAGACATATGGACTTATGTAGCATCAAATGGCTATATATATTTAACTGCTCATTATGTTTATTTGAACTGAATTCTTCAAAAAAGAGTGTTGATTTTTCGTCATGTGCCCCCTCCACATTCCGGTTCAGTTTTAGGTACTTTATTAACTGAGTTTATTAAGGAATAGGACATTGAAAAGAAGATATTCACTCTTAATTTGGATAATGCTAGTTGCAATAGGGTGTAGTTGATATTTTAAAGTAACATTTATCTTTGAGGCGTTCACTAGTTTGTGATGAAAAGTTTTTTCATGTTTGTAGTGGGAACCACATATTAAATTTAATAGTGAAGGCTGGTTTGGAAAAAGCTAATGCATATATTGTAAATATTCGAGAAAGTGTTACACATATTAAACATTCGGAAGGAAGAATTTTGATGTTCGTGGAATGCATTAAGAATCTTGGACTACCGTGCTCAAATAAGCTTCGCCAAGGTATGACTATTCAATGGAATTCTACTTTTCAAATGCTTGAAAGTGCTCTCCTCTATGAACAAGTTATATTCAATATAAGTTAGTTGATACTAATTTTAAATATGCTCTTTCTGAGGAGGAATGAAAAAGGGTAGAGACAGTTGCTAAGTTTTTGAAGCTATTTTATGATATCATTACATTATTTTCCGGAAGCAAATATCCAACCGCCAATTTGTATCTACCTAATGTGTGGAAAATTCAAATGTTGTTAGAGGAAGAAAGAAATAGTAGTGACCTAGTTATGAATGAGATGGCTACATTAATGTTAAGAAAGTTCAAAAAATATTGGAGGTCTTACAGTAGGATCTTATCACTTGCCATTGTCCTTGATTCTCGATATAAAATAAAGCTGGTGAAATTTTGCTTTTCCATAATTGATCCTGTGATTGCCAATGCGAAGGTAAAAGCTGTTGAAGATCATTTTCAAATATTGTTTAAAGAATACTTGGTACCTTCAACCTCAATTTCCCTATCGGAGGAGCATGTTTATAGTAGATGTACTAATGAAGCAAGGGATGAGCTTAAAGAGTTTGATGTGTTTGAGAACCAGTTGGAGTCTAGTAGAGATAAAACACAATTAGATTTGTATATGGAGAAGCCTAATCTTAATCGTAAAGCAAATCCAGATTTGGATGTACTTGCCTTTTGGAAGGAAAATAGACTAAGGTTTCCAAATTTCTCATTGATGGCACGAGATGTCTTGAGTATACCTATTTCCACTATTGCCTTAGAGTCTACCTTTAGCATTGGAGTTCGTATTATTGGGAAGTTTCAAAGCTCTATTTTACCTGTAAATGGCAGGCAAAGTTGTGTACTAGAGATTGGCTTTGCGAACAAGAAGGTAAATTATTATATTTATACTACAATTTTGTTTTGTTCTTTTGTAATAGTGTTCCAATAAATTAATTTTACATGTTCTTGTTTGTTTTGTAAGATTTCAATGAATCAAACACCGATGAGGATGAAATTGCGGTAGACCTTCAGCCATATCTTGATAAACTTGGTTTGCGTTGATAGGTAGTTGTGTAAAAATAGTTATGATTAGTTCGACGATCAAGAGAATTGAGCTACCAATGTTGGTTATTTCCTGGAGCTCCAACTTTGTAAGGCCTTGTTTAGTTGCTAAAGTAGTTAGGTTGGCTTTTTTGTGGCAGTACTTTGTTTAATCTAAAACTACTTTATTCATTGTAATGTTTGAAGTGACTTTGCATTTTTTTCACTTGGTAATGGCAATATGTTCCTTGTTTTCCAAATTAAAGGTATGATAAAGTTTGAAGAAAGACAAAAAATATGTGGGGCAATGTTAAATTTTTATATCATGCATTTAAAATTAGAAATGTGTAATGTTACATATTGGATCAAAAAGAAAATGAGACTCAGATTTGTTTAGTGAGGCAACGCATGCGAGTTATAAATAAATGTGAGACTGACTTTCTGTTAAAAATATAAATCAATAATGATGATTGATTTGTTGTTGCATAACAAAAATAGATAAAATGGATCATGTCCATTTTTTACCCAACTCATATTTTACCCAACCCGTATTTTACCTGTACTAATATGGACATGTTGCAATATAATCTGTTTTTAACCCGCCCAAATCCAACCCAACCCGCTCATTTGCCACCACTAATTGACCCATAAGGGTGCTCCATTCAGATGGTCTGATAAGTATGAGGAGAGCTTTCAGAATCTCAAGACTGACTTGACCACATCTCCAATTCTAATTTTTCCTTCAGCATCGGGTTCATATACGGTATGCTATGATGCTTCACGGATTTCTATTGGGTGTGTCTATATACAGGAGGGCAGGGTTATTGCTTATGCTTTGTGCCACTTGAAGCCCCATGAGAAGAACTACCCCGTTCATGATTAGAGTTGGCAGCCATTATTCTTGCATTGAATATTTGGAGGCACTATCTCTACGTATGTCTTGAGAGGTATTAACAAATCATCAGAGTCTACATCACCTGTTTAAGAAGAAGGATTTAAATTTGAGGCAACGGTGGTGGGTGGAGCTATTAAAAGACTATGATATCACCATTTTGTATCATCTCAGAAAGGTCAACGTGGTAGATGATGCCTTGAGTAGAAAGGCGGTGAGTATGGGTAGCCTTGCATATATTCCAGTTGGTAAGAGACCACTAGAATCAGTTGTTCAGACCTTGGCCAATCAGTTCGTGAGGCTAGATGTTTCAGAGCCTAGATGAGTTCTTGGTTGTATGGTTTCTCGGTCTTCCTTGTATGAGCGCATCAGAGAGCGTCAGTATGACGACCCCCATTTGTTTGTCCTTAAGGACGCGGTATAGCACGGTGATTCCAATGAGGTTTGTATTGGAGATGATGGGGTGTTGTGAATGTAGGGTTGGATTTGTGTGCCTAATGTGGATGGGTTGCGTGAGTTGATTCTTGAGGGAGCCCACAGTTCGCGATATTCTATTCATCCGTATGCCGCCAAGATGTATTAGGATTTGGGGAAATACTATTAGTGGAGAAGAATAAATAAAGATATGGTAGGATATGTGGCTCGGTGCCTGAACTGTCAGCAGGTGAAGTATGAACATTAGTGGCCGAACAGTTTGTTTTAGAGACTTGATATTCCCGAGTGGAAATGGGAGCGTGTTACCATGGACTTTGTTGTTTGATTCCCATGGACTTTGAAGAAATTTGATATAGTTTATGTGATTGTGGATCGGTTGACTAAGTCTACATATTTTATTCTGGTTATGACTACCAATTCTGCAGAGCTCCTGAATGAGATCTATATCCACAAGATTTGTCTTCATGGTATGCCCTATCCATTATTTCTGATCGGGGCACGCAGTTCACATCACGGTTTTGGACAATAGTGCAGCGAGAGTTTGGCACACGGGTTGAGTTGAGTACCGCATTCCACCCCCATACGGATGGATATACTGAGTGCACCATTCAGATTTTGGAGTATATGATAAGCACTTGTGTTATAGATTTCGGGGGTTCTTGGGATTAGTTTCTACCACTTGCGCAGTTTGCCTATAACAACAGCTACCAATCGAATATTCAGATGGCTCCTTGTGAGGCTTTATATGGGGGTGGTGTCGTTCTCTAGTTGGTTTGTTTGAGTTGGGAGAAGTTAGGTTGTTGGGTACTAATTTGGTTCAGAATGTCTTAGAGAAAGTCAAGTTGATTTAGGATCGGCTTCGTACAACACATTCTAGACAAAAGAGTTAAGCTAATCGGAAGGTTCGTGATGTTGACTATATAGTGGGAGAGAAGGTATTACTCAGAGTATCTCCCATGAAGGGTATGATTAGGTTCGAAAATAGTGGCAAGTTGAGCCCTCGATATATTGGCCCTTTTTGAGGGCTTGAGAGGATTGGAGAGATGGCCTACAAGCTTGCATTGCCACCTAGTCTATTGGGTGTTCCCCCAGTATTTCATGTTTCTATGCTTGAGAAGTATTATGGTGATCCATCTCATCTTTTAGATTTCAGCTCGGTTTAGTTAGATGGGGATTTGACTTATGATATAGAGCATGTGGCCATTTTGGATCGGCAGGTTCGAAAGTTGAGATAAAAGAATATAGTTTCAATGAATGTTCAGTGGAGAGGCCAGCTAGTTGAGGAGGCTACTAGGGAGATCAAGTGGGAGACACAGAGCATATATCCATGCCTATTTGAAACTCTAGGTATGATTCTAGACCCGTTCGATGTCGAACGTTTGTTTAATAGGGGGAAAATATAATGACCCGGCTGGTCATTTTGTATATTGTAGCCCCGTTCTCCCATTTATCATTTCTTTTATGCTTAATTATGGTTGTGACTTGCCGGGGTGGTTGGATTGGTTTTAGAGAGAATTGTGACACTTAGTCCTAAGGTTGAAGGCTTAAGTTAAAAGAGTTGACAGGAGTTTGACTTTTGTGTAGACGATTCTAGAATAGATTTTGATGTTTCGGATAGCTTCATATGGTGATTTTGAGCTTAGGTGTGTGTCCATATATTGATTTGGAGGTCTGTAGGACATTTTGGCTTGAATTGGCGAAAGTTAGAAAGTTGAAGGTTTGGAAGATTGAGAGGTTTGACTGAGAGTTGACTTTGTTGTTATCGGGTTCAGATTTCAGCTATGGGAGTTAGAGTAGGTCCGTGTCATTTATTACTTGTGTGCAAAATTTGAGGTCAATCAGAGTTGGTTTGATATGATTCGACATTAGTTTTAGAAGTTGAAAATTTATTAGTTCAATAGGCTTGAAATGGGGTGTGATTCATGATTTTGATATTGTTTGGTGTGATTTGAGGCTTCGACTAAGTTCATATCGTGTTTTAGGACCTGTTGGTATGTTTGGATGGGCTCCCGGGGACCTCAGATATGATTTAGATCAAGTTCGGCTTCATTTTGGACTTTGTTGGATTTCTGTTTTTCTGTATCTGGTTTCCTCTTTCATGATCACGAAGAAAGGGGCGAAATTGGGAAGGGTTGTCACTGGTAGGTGATAAGTGGGATTTTAACCTATTATTTGCTCTTTCTCACTTGCGTTTTGGGCCTAAAATGCGGTAAGGTATTCCTGAAAACTAATGTAATATGCTTGTTTGCAGGGATTGTTCATAATGAGCCAAAGTAGCCATGATCAACTCATGAAAGAGTAAAAACTTGAACAAAGACCAAGACTAGGCCAAGAGCTGTGGAATGCGGACCGCGACGGAAAAATACGGCCGCGAAAGTGTCAACGCGGATGCGGTCATTAATTCGCAGACCGTGAAAGGGAGAATCATAGAGGTGGTTTTTGGGCACAAACATGGACGCGGACCGCGTCAGAAAGTGGCGACCACAAAAGTACCACCGTGGCCGCAATTGGAATTCTGCGGACCACAGTTGGTAAGGTTCAGAGAGCTCACAAAGTATGCAAAATTGTTAAGAGCGGTCCGCATCAAAATTACGCGACCGCAAAAGCCTCTCACGCGGACACGGTGAAAATTATACAGTCCACGATACAAGGTTCAATCTAGTCCCAGATGTGAATAAACGCGGACCGCGGTCAAAATTATGCAGCTGCGAAAGTAAGAGTGCGGCCGTGGTTAGAATTACGCGGCCGCGAAACATCCACAGGGGTATTTTTGTCCGGAAATTTTAACTTAGTATAAATAGATCTTTTTGACATTTTTAGGTTAAGTTTTGTTTTTGCCGAGTACGTGAGACAGCTGGAAATACCATTTTGGGCGATTTTGTATTAGATTAAACTTTTAACATTATTTTTTCATCTTTTAATCTAGTATTATGGATTTTATCTTTATTTCATCTTTGATTTCTGCTATTTTCATGAGTAGCTAAACTAGTGTGGGTATTTGATGGGTCTTAAATTTTAGGGCTTGAATGTGTATGAGCTAGTAGTATTTAGCCTAGTTCTTGCTAGAACTAAGGAATTAATGGTTGCAAACACTGATTCATGCCTTTATGACTTAGTCTCTACTTGAGAAAGAGGGACTAAGTCTAGAAAAACTAGGCTAACAAGGAATTGGGATGAACTCAAGAAATTGATAGCCCCAATTACAGGGTTAAACCTAGAGATAGTAATACCCGACTTGAACTAACATCACTTGAGAAAGCCAAATTGGGCAAAATCACTCAAACTACCGAGAGGTATGGAGTGAGTACCCGAGTGTGATAGTTATACTACGACCCCAATTAATCACATGATTGTCCAAGATTCTTGCTACCTATTAGATATCCACCTAGGTGGAAGTCACTACCCTAGTCCCTTTAAATCCTTGAAAATCAACATCAAAAATATTATACTTAGTTTTAACTATTGCATGCTACAGAATAGAAGTAGAAGTAGAAGACAAACCAAACATGTGTGGAAGTACAATTAAGAGCAAAACCTGCATCTAGACTTGGATATAAACCTAACTCCAAACAAATTAACTCCCTGTGAATTCGATCCCGACCTTGTTGGGTAAAACTGCATCGACCATCCTTGCTACTCAATAGTAGTGTTGGTTTGGAACCGATCAGTAGGTTGTAATTAATTCTTCATGTTTGCAATACTGGGCACATGTTCATGAATCTTTGAGGTCTTAGGTCTTTGCGGACGCAAGATGGTTCATGAATACGTGTAGAGGAGTGGTTAGCTGGAGCGTTAGGATTCAAGCCTACACGATCGCGGTATTGTGCATGTGTTCGTGAAGAGTTAGGTTTGGTAACCATCGCATTCGCGGATGTGGCTGCACATTTGTGTAGTGTATT